AACTTGGCCATACTATAGTTAACACCTTAAAGATAACAATTTTTACAAGTCTCAAAAAATAATGACATTCTACAAAAACTGGCAGAAAAAGCTTGTGTCTATGAAGTCTTTAGCTTTATTAAAACTTATAGAATTATTTTTATTAAAACTTATTTTTATTAAAACTTATAGAATTATTTCCAAGAAGTTGTTTCTTCATGTTTTGGAATAACACTGGATAAAAATGTGAAGAAAAAATTTAAAACGTCTTTCCTATTTTTGCCAATATCAGTTATACCAAAAGTCCATGCTTTTTTCTATGTTTCAGAATTTGTGTTATGAAGCCTCAATCTTCACTTCGAACCTTTAGTAAACAAGCAACTGAATTGCAATCAAAACTGTTTATTGGGAACAATATATATATATATATATATATATATATATATATATATATATATATATATATATATATATATATATATATATATATATATATATATATATATATATATATATATATATATATATATAATATATATATATATATATATATAGTATAACCTTTGGGCGCTACTATATATATATATATATATATACATATATATATATATATATATATATATATATATATATATATATATATATATATATATATATATATATATATATATATATATATATATATATATATATATAGTATAACCTTTGGGCGCTACTATATATATATATATATATATATATATATATATATATATATATATATATATATATATATATAGTAGCGCCCAAAGGTTTGCGGACAGAAAAACAAAGCACACACACCACTTGAGCCATCATATTATATACCAATTAAAAGGTTTTCAGTTTAACAATTATATTTTGAGCAATTAATGATTATTTAATTAAATACTTAAAATTGGTTTACAAAATAACAATTTTCGATAAGTTCAAAAGTTTTCCGGACAAACTGAAGCTTTTAAAATTTTTCCCACAAAATTGCTAATTTGTTGATTTTATAAACAAATACTTTGTGGAAATAATTTACAAACTTTATTTATAAGTGATTGAGATTGTGGGATCTAAGAAATATCTCATCTCCAGTGAAAAAATTGATCATGAGATCAGTTCAAAATGGAAATTCGTTTTCGTAAAACACTACAGCTTTATTGAGTTGGTAAGTCTGCTGTAAGACAAATTATGAAAAAATGTGAACTTACAAAGAATAAAAATCAGGAAAGCCACAAAAAACAACACATCAGGATAAAAAGCTTGTGATACTAAGCAAAAAAATCCCAGTTTGACTGCTGTCCGTATTAACATACAAATGAGACGTTTCTGTGGAATGAATTGTAGTATTTCTACTATAAAACGTCACGCTAATTTATTTGGAAAGAGCCCAGCTAAAAAGCTAGGCTACTTCCAAATTAGTTTCCTTGAAAAACTGTAACGCCCGAAAGGAGTTTGCATCATAGCATAAAGTGAAGTAGTCAACAATGGTCAAAAATTCTTTTTAATGACGGAAGCAAGTTTGTAATGTTCAGATCAGATGGAATCTGATATGTTCAACATCCAGTAGGTACAAGATACGATCTTAAACATCAACTACCTACTGTGAAAAAAAAAAAGGGAGAAGGTATTTTAATGGTTTGGGGATGTTTTAGCGGGGATGGAGTTAGTCCGCTTGATAGAATTACTGAGACTATAAATCAAGAAAAGTACAAAGATATATGTAAGACTAATATATTCCTTATGCAAAGGATAAAATGTCTCGAGGATGGATATACAAACAGGATAACGATCCCAAATATGCAGCCAAATTGGTTTTAGAGTTTTTCAATAAGAATAAAGTTGATGTTTTAAAGTGGCCATCCCAATCACATGACTTAAATCCATGGGGAACATGTTGACCATCAAATAAAAGGAATCAAGTCTCTTGATTCATGTTGATTTATTTAATAAAATCAAAGAAATATGGGACTCGATTCCCATTGACGTTTGCATTCATTTAGTTGATTATATGCCTCATAGATGCCAAGCCATTCTTGATTGTGAAGAATATCCTACAAAATACTAATGTGATTTTGCTTTTATATAAATTTGTGATCAAATATTGTTGAAATATTTGTACTATTTAAAAGAAAAACGCTTTGTCTACAAATTTTTAAACTTATCAAAAATCATGGATTTGTATACCATTTTTAAAATGTTAAATTGATAATCATGATAGTTTAATAATTTATTTATATAAGTTATACTTTAAATTATAAATAAGTCAAATTAAATCTTCCCATTCCAATGTAATGATATAATTGCTTTTTTTTTCTTCTATTATTACAAAATTTGTTTAAAAGTTAAAGTCAAGTTTTTTTAAAGTTGAATCAGAGCATGAAACAATTAGAAATTACTATTTTAAAAAGATAACATTATTTTTTTAAACAAAAAAATTTTAACTTTTTGACAAAAATGTTTATACAATTTTAAAATATTAAACTTTTTTTCTTTTCAATAACTTAATTTCATTTTCTCAGTAATTTAAATAAAATTTGTTTATTTATTAAACAATCATTAGAAATAATTTGTCTGTCAATCGTCATCTTGCTTTATAAACTTCATCTTTTCTCTTCCAGTAAATTCCAACTCTAATTGTTGGAAGATGTTTATATATATATATATATATATATATATATATATATATATATATATATATATATATATATATATATATATATATATATATATATATATATATATATATGTATATATATATATGTATATATATATGTATATATATATATATATATATATATATATATATAATATATATATATATATATATATATATATGTATGTATGTATGTATGTATGTATGTATGTATGTATATATATATATATATATATATATATATATATATATATATATATATGTATGTATGTATGTATGTATGTGTATATATATATATATATACATATATATATATATATATATATATATATATATATATATATATATATATATATATATATATATATATGTATATATACAGGGTGGCCCATAAGTCACTTTACATTTTAAAAATTAAATAACTTTTTTTCTATTAATATATTTCTATTTCTCTTTTCAGAATTAAGAAATATAATCTTTGGAAATTTTTGGAATGGATAAGTTTACGACTGAACAACGAGTGAAGATAATTGAATTTTACTTTGAAAATGGACAGTCAATTGTTGCAATGCAAAGATTGTATATGCGCCATTTTAATGTTTGACATCCCCCTAGTAGGCCTGCAATAATGAACTTAATGAAGCGTTTTCAAGAGCATGGCTCTGTAAGTGATAGGACTAGAAGGGGACGAGGTTGTTCAGCACATACACGTGAAAATACTGAAGCTGCGAGCCGTAGCATTGAAGAGAACCCAACCACATCCACTCGAAGGCGTTCTCAAGAACTTGACATCTCACAGAGTTCTCTGCAGCGCATTCAAAGAGACTTGCACATGTACCCTTACAAGATTCAATTAGTGCAATCTTTACAACCACTAGACTTTCAGAAACGACTAAATTATGCTGTCAGGTTTCAGAGAACTGCAAGAAATGACAATGAATTTATTCACAAGTTAATCATGGGAGATGAAGCTCATTTCCATTTGAATGGACATGTGAATAAGCAGAATATTAGATTCTGGGGCACCATAAATCCACATCAAGTTCATACGAGTTTATTACACCTGGTTAAAGTCACAACATGGTGTGGAATAACATCAGAAAGGGTTATTAGGCCCTTCTTCTTTGAAGATGTAAATAAAAATACTGTGACTGTAACTGCTGAGAAATATCGAGACATGCTAGCGAATTTTGTTCAACCTCAGCTAGCAAACATGGCAGGGTATTGGTGGCAACAAGATGGAGCAACTGTACATACTGCTAGAGCCACAATGCAATTGTTAACTGCGATGTTTCAGGATCAGATAATAAATCCGATTTTGAATTGCCTCCACATTCTCCTGATTTGACAGCACCAGACCTTTGGCTTTGGGGATATCTTAAAGACAAAGTGTATGCAAATAAGCCCCGAACTATTCAAGATCTTAAGGCAAACATACAACAGGAAATTCTTTCCCTACAACCTCAGATGTTAAGAAGTGTCATGGAGAATAGCTTAAAAAGAGCTCAACTTTGTGAAGACGAGAATGGAGGCTATTTAAGAGACATTACCTTTCATAACTAAGTCAGAACTAACTTACAGACTCTAAACTTGGTAATAAAAAAAGAATTAATTAAATACAGTCATTTAAGAATGTATGTATGTATGTATGTATGTATGTATGTATGTATGTATGTATCTATATATATATATATATATATATATATATATATATATATATATATATATATATATATATATATATATATATATATATATATATATATATATATATATATATACTATTTTTATTCATTTTTAGAACTTAAATTGATATTATTTATATCTAACTTCTATTTTTTAAATTCAAATATAATTAGAACAAATTTTGAAAAAACATGACTAACAAGATGCTGTTTTATTTTTAATTAATAAATTTAACTTATTATCAATTAGTTTTATATCCTAGTTACAGTTTCATAGTTACACAACCTTATATTCTAGTCACAAAACATTTTATATTCCAGTTACAAAACTATTAGCTTTATTTTCGAGATGCTCCTTGTATTTTAACTTTTCCTTATTCAAAAAATTTGATGATGTGTGCAAGTTATTTCAAAAAATTTGATGTGTGCAAGTTATTTCAAATTTGTAAAGAGCACACATTTTTTTCTGCCAACTCTCCATAACTATTTTCTATAAATACTTAGCAACTAATAAATTTTGCTTTGGTTAAGTAATTTTATTATTTAGAAGGTTTAAAAAAAAAAAGAGGATAAAATTTTAGCTTATTATATAGTTAATGGAGGAAATGGTTTCAATATGTAATTATATATAACACAATAATGTTAAAACAATATTCAAAAACTTAAAAACAAACCATATGTGCTGCTTGAAATACTTTTTGCTATTTGCCGAATAATCCCATTATTGTGTTTTTTATCAGAACATTGGCATCGAAACCAAATAGGAGATTTGACAACAAAAGATAATTCCACAGCTAACAAAATTAGAAAGCCAATAACAAAATTAGTGAAACAACTTATTTTTTTAATTATAAACATGAAGGAGCATTTTTTAAAATACAAATTATATATATATATATATATATATATATATATATATATATATATATATATATATATATATATATATATATATATATATATATATATATATCGTCGGCTCTGGATGCAATTGTCGTATCATAAATTTATTAAAATTATATATAAATATGTAATAACGTGTAATAATTTATGTAAGTTTAAAGTTATGTAAATGTAAAAAATTTTTTAATAAAAATTATTTAATATAATGTTTTAAAAAAAACTTTTTTCATTAATATATGATGTTAAATTTACATATATTATAAATTTGCGATACGACAATTGCATCCCGAGCCAACAATATATATATATATATATATATATATATATATATATATATATATATATATATATATATATATATATATATATATATATATATATATATATTTGTATTTCACAATAATAAACCCTTCTTTTTATGGAGCAAAAAAAGTCAACTCCATGCATTCTATAAATTTGTGTACATTTTTTATCAAACATAAATATAAACAGTTACATACATATTTTATCAGACTTTGCAGGATAAATGATATTGTCATCAAAACCTTCAGAAACAATCAACTTTTGTGTATGGCTTTGAGTACTTTGAAGTCTATTTAATTCACAACTTTTTATAACAGACTGATTTGAAAAATCTTTCAAAGAAATATTTTTAGCAACTGTGTCTTTCTTCCCATTTATTTTAGGACCTTTAAAGCTTGAAATGTTATTAGGAGAAGATAATAATAACCCTTGTGTCTCTATGGAATTCTTGCTAAAAATAGAACTAACTGTACTAGCAGTCTGAGATGTCAATGGAATAAAGGTTTTATTTTTTAAGTTTGGACTAAAACTATTTATTGAAGGTGTTTGAAATGATTTCAGTTGAGAAAAATTTTGTTCACCACTCCTTTTATATTCTTCAATTATATTTCGATCAGCATGAAAATAGTTTTGCTGCACCTTAGGAGAAATTGGAGAATATTGAAGAATGGATGATTGATTTAATAATTTTGGATTACTATCTTTCTTTAATTGTTTATTAGTTAATAACTTTTGCAATGCTATCTGTTTTTTTTCTTCAATAAGAATTTTTTGTTCTTCAGTTAGTTGTGACATTTAAATATTAAATTCCTGTAAATAAATAAAAACATAAAACTCTATAATAACTCTATAATTACTTGTATTTGATAAATATTGAACAAATATAACTATTTTAATATTGATAGACTTACATAAAAATGTAATAGTAGGCAATTAGAAATAAAAATGCTAACCCTGTGTTTTACTTTTTAATCTTCTTCCTTTTGTGTGTATTTATTAAATAGAACAGTTATTTCAAAAGTTAAATGTATGGAAGCCCCTAGAAATAATTTCAATATCTATATCTATGTCTATATCTATATTAGGGTCAACAACCAGCGATAATGACCTCAAATTGAAAAAAAAAATTTTTCTTAAAAAGCTTAAAAAACAGGTTTTTTTTTTAGGAAAACAGGATTATTATGACAATATTTAAAAAATATATTTATAAAAATCATAAAAGAGCATATTAAAAAATTTATAAAAAATAAAAAATGTATATATACAAAATAAATAAAAAAAAAAGCTCTCATAAAAATACTACTTAAAAGATTATTAATTCCCTATAATAAATAAAACAAACAAATATGATGCTGAAGTATGACTGATAGTATTAAATTTCAAACAAAAAAGAAATAAAATATAAAACATAAACACATTGCGATTAGACTTTTTTTTATTTCAGATATTTTTTAATTCTTTTATTATTTTAACTCTAGCTTTCTTTTCTATTTGTTTATTATTTATTTATTTACTTATTTATCTAACTCTGCACTTAGTTTTTTTAGACCTTCTGTCCCAATTCTACTTTTTGTTAGCCAACCCTTGACGTTTTGTCACACAGATTTTTAATAGTTTGTTTCCCTCTTCCACAAGTTTTTCTAGCAGAATCTACTTAAATTTTTAGCTATTTTATGGGATAATTTTGAAAAGTTTGTAATTGTTTAGAAAAAATATTTTTTTTAAAAAAACATCACTCAAAAAATAATCTCTTCGTCTTTTCTTTCTTGAAGGTCTACTTTATTTTTCCTTTTCTTAATCAAGTATTTTTTTGTAGCATGAATGCAAATTTTTGCAGCATTTATTGCAAGATTTATCTTAATAGCCCCTGAATCTTTCGTGATTTGAATTGACTTAAGGGAAACTAATGTTGGCATCATATTTCTGAACAGCATTTTAAAACTATCATCTAAATCTTTTTTTTTAAATCTGGACAACACAAAATAATGAGGTTTTGTAAAATTACCTCAATTTTTGTTAATAGAATTCCTCTTTTCTAAATTTCTGGAATGCAGATTAGGAAAATGCAATAGTTTTTGAATTTCTGCATCATTTAAGTCAGGGGCTTTTATCTTTGATATATAGGCTTTAACCACTCAGATGGTTGCAAAATAATATCATCAATAAAATCTTTAAGAGCAAATCCTCTTTTAATTATTCTCATTAATATGTCTTGCCTATTCAACGAGGTAGAGATATGTCTCAACATATGCAAAATATTCCTTAACTATTTTTACAGAAAATTTAAAAAAACTGTGCAAACCAATTGGTAATTGGTCTAAATCAATATCATCAGAAATCAATGCTTACAAACCTTCCAAAAAAGCATTGGAAATTGTATGGAGTGGATATGAGCCAACATTCATAATAAAGTTATCTTTTTTTTCAAGATCATCTCCCAACTTTTTAAGAACAATTTATTGACATTTAGATCATCTATACTAATGGAAAGAATTGACCCTGAAAGAAAATAATTCCTTTATAGCAAGCCAGACATTGTTTTACTCTTTTTTAAAATTTAATTTTTTTGCTAAACAAACTGAATTTTCCCTTACAACTTTTTTAAATGATTAGAAAGATCTTCTGCAGTACACCTCCCATAAAACAATGTGTTCAAGTACAATGTTACGGTTTGCTGAAATTGATTTGAATGGTACATGGCATAAGCATCATACTGTTTCTTGTCTGTGACATAGTTGTTTCATCAAATTGGAACATAAAAAGCAAACATTTCAACTTATTCAAATAATTTTTTAAATGCAAGGGGCTATTCTGAACTGAATCATATACTGCAGCTCTTTGGATTTTTGTTGATTTGCTTTAGAAATTTTAGAATCCAGAAACTTATATTTAGCATAGTCAACATCAGCTGCAACAAATGCATAATTTGACTCAATAATATCTAATCAATGAACAATTTTAGCCATAACTATTTGCTCTCCAGTGCTTCATATTACGCTTTTTGTTGATAGCTTCTAGCTAAACTATCTGAACTTGTCACATATTTAGACTTATATTTAGATTGATTTTGTATTTTCTTCATATTTCTTAAAATGAACTTAAAATAAAGATTAAGATGGGTTACACCAGTTAAAATGGTTATGTCCACAGAACAAAGTTTATAGAAGCCATGTTAATACACTTATTTGAAGCTTTTATCAATGGATAACTCTTTTTCCATGATGATTGACATTTGGCCTTCCCCATACTGAAACATTGATTAAAGTAAATTTAAGTAAATGTAACTAAAAAAAATAAAAATAATAACTTGCACTCCTGCCTGCCAATGAAATGTTTATATATATATATATATATAGTATAGCTGTATATATATATATATATATATATATAGTATAGCTTATATATATATATAGTATAGCTGAGTCTAGCAAATCTAAGATTAACCATTCTATTTGAAACTTTTACATTAAAAGCGTTGTCTTATGACAATTCTGGAGAACCTGTTTCATGAGACAGAAGAGATAAGAAGAAGAAGCTCCTTAGCTGTGGTGCATAACATAACACATAAAATAAAATACATAAAAACAAGAATTCAATTTATAACATTTACATTTATTAACAATCTAGTTTAAAAAAATAAAAATTTAGTGATATTAAATCTAAAATAAAATTAATAAACTTTACTTGAAACATTCATAACTTTACATATTTACTTTGAACTTTTTTATCTCTCAAAACTTTACATATTTACTTTGAACTCTTTTATCTTGATTGTCTCTTAAATTCATAAAACATATATTTTTAAAAATGAACATGGTAAAACTTTTAAAAAAAACAACAGGCTATTACCTTAAAAACTAGCCAAAAAATACAAAAAAAGGCAAAAATATAAAACAAATAACAGGGAAACAGGCTGTAAGAACCCTGATATATTTAAATTTTTGTAAAATAATTGATAATTACTGTGTCATAAATCTATGAAATTTTTCTCAAAAATAATGAAAAGGGGTTTTATTCTGACTAATTTTCAAAAAAGTTTTTTTGAAAATTAATCAGAATAAAACCCATTTTCAAAATTTTAAAAATGGTATATAAAAATGGTAAAGTAGTATTTATAGGCAGTAGCATTATGACTTTCTGAAGCCTAGAATTTGCTTCAGCCTTATAGAACTTTCTAGAATTTTCTGGACTGTTCTGGATGTTTTTAGATATCTCTGAAACTTTCTAGAATTTTCTGGAGGCTTCTAGAAGTTTATGTAAGATTTAGACTATATAAGCTGCCTGATTGAGCAACGCTAATAATTATATATGAACCTGTATTTGCCAGATGACAGTCAAATAGAAGTATAATAGCACTTACAATTATTATTATTGCCTTTCAGAAATATATTCAAGTATTATCTTAAATCATAATGTCCTATAAAAAAAAGTGCTTCTACTACTGAAAGAAATAAGACAATCTGGAGGAACAATCTCGTATGATTTTATGAGTCATATAAAAAAGAAAAACTCTCTACTAGAAGAACAATCGCTGGATGATAATAGAAGAACAAAAAAAAAAAAGAAGAACTGTTCCATACTCTGTTCCAAAACTACAACCAAATTAGTAACATCTTTAAAGTTACCAATCAGCAAAGCAGCAACCATTTGTTGACAGTTATCTCAAGATGAAATTGGCATTTAGACACCTTTACAGTCTTATAAAGAAATGAAGAAAGAAAACAGTTTTTCTTCATTATTTTTTTCAAAGAAATGAAGAAAACTGTCTTTTCTTGATTTCAAAGAAAATTTTGAAAGCTGAGCGCTGCGCATTGATGGTAAACGTATTAGCCACCAAAAATATCAAGTGTTGGTGTTCAAGAATAAACATAGAGAAGTTAAGTTACAAATGCTAGATCTACCAGACAAAAAAACAGATACTGTTGCTAAAGGTATAACAACTATAACAACTAAGATGATTGTAGCGGACACTACAAATGTTAACACTAGAAGTAAAATGTAAACACTGAAAGAAGGGATTTCCTAAATTGAAGTTTTAGAAAATACCTAAATTAAATAATGAAAGATGGAATTCCCAAGCAATACTAGCTCTTTTGGCATTTATTCTTCTCCCAGAAAGAAAGAGACTCACTACTCTACATTTGTAGATTTATCTCTTACAGATGGGCCAACCATTGGTTTACGGATGAAATGTAAAATGAGGATAATTATCGGAAGCTATGTAGCAGTTTGCATGGTCACAGAAAAGCATTAAACTCCGTAAAAAAGTTTTATAATCAGGAACCATTGAGATAGCAAAATCACAGAATAAATCAGAGTGCAAAACAAGCAATCATGTGTCTTCAAAATTTTTATGACATTTGTAAAAAGAAACCTCCAGCTCAGATTTAGTCTAACAAAACTTAAGAATTGTATATTACACTTTAATTAAACTTAAGAATTGTATATTACACTTTAATTAAGAATGTAATTAATTTAATTACACTTTAATTAAGCTAAATATTACACAACATATTTTGGATATATACAGTAGCTTTTCAAACTTATAGAATTGTTATTTAAGTTTGTAATTTTATATTAATTTATAATTTAGATTGTTATGTAACAATAATCTGTTAAATGCTTAAAATCTACTTAAAAACTCTCCAATTAAAAAAAGAGAATTAAAAATTAATGATCATAAAATTGTTCAAAATTTTATTGATACACATATATGGTAAATTCAAATTTTTGGTTTGTGGATTTATCAACAAGAAATCAACTTAATATCAATTATTTTTTTATTACTTTAGTACAAATATTCATCGATTTATGACCCAGGAACATGGCATCACAAAAAAGTCAAAATCCTAATATATATATATAACTATGAATGTGTGTTTAGATTTCAGGTCACACTGAAATAGCCTGCTGTGGCAGGCTTCAGTACTCACATCAAATAACTTATATCCTGCTGCCACAATGGCGTGGGGCAGCAATCTTTTCTTTCATTATTCTTCTTTTTTTTTTCTCCTGAAAAAGCTGTATGTTATAAAGATAAATAAAATTAGTAAGCAAATGCTTATATAGATATGCTAAAATATTTATATATCAAGCCTTCTCACAAGATGCGTGCCTTATATGACCTCACACATAATATTTTTTGACAACTTGGCCAAGGCTCCTAACATGTTTTAAGTTAATGCATTTAAAAAATGCGCTGAATGAACAAATGTAAATGTTAACTAAAATAAACAAAAAATAAACAAACTATAAACTGAAAAGAGAAACACTAAAAAAAAAAATACAAAGCTATACTAAAAAAATAACTCTTAACAAAAGATAACATTATTAAAAAATAAACCAAAAAAAAATAAAAGCATAAAATTAATTTATTTTTTTATTTTAATTCAAGTATTTCACTGCAATGAATTTAGAAAAAATTTTAGTTTTATTATTTAATCCAAGCTTAGTTACATTGAAGCTTAAGAAACAACACAATTAATCAACCTAAGTGCTACATCAGCGTGGTGATATAGAGAAAATTATTAGCTTTGAGCTATTAATTGAAACGCTTTTAAATCAAATTAATTAAGTTTGAACTATTATTTAAGACAATTCTAAATTAAAAGCCGTATTAGTTATGCTTTTATTTTCTCTGGTTTATCCTTTATTTATTTTATTATTTGTTAAATTCGTTTCTCTTTTCAGTTTATGGTTTGTTTATTTAAAATTTTCTTTTTAAATTAGTTTAGTTTTTTTAGCGCATTTTTTAAAACACACAAGTTATCAATATATGCAAAAAACCGTGGCCAAGTTGTGAAAAAAAATAAATGTATGTGTCAGTGTTTCACCTAAAGGCATGAAATCGCACGCCATTTATATGACCATGCAAATAGTACTTTGTTTTGACAATTTGACTTTTCTTTTTTTTTTAATTAGTTTCAAAAGATTACTATTTATCATAAAAAATATATAATATAAATAAAAAAACAGTTCATTAATACTTTATATAAATATTTATTAAAAGTGTTTTGCTACTTCATTAAAAAGCGTTTCAAGAATATAAAAGCATTAAGCTCAAACTTATTTATTTGTAGGGCTTTCAAAAAAAAATTCTTTTTTTTTTCAACAAAATCTTTTTAAATGTAATAACTTTAATGATTTTTATATAAAGTTCATTAAAGAGCCTTATGTTTTCTAAGAAGGCTTTTTTTTATAAAAACAAAACAATTTTTTATTTTTTAATAATCATTATTGTAAAAAAAGCATGATTAAATAACTTATACAATATCAATTTAAAAATTTATATACAACGGGTAATTCCATGTCAAATCAGCAGGCTTATGTCACCCCATGTTTTAGATTTTGCTAATTTTTTTATGTTACAGGGTTTATGAAAACTAAGAAAATCTGAAATTTGGAACCTCCAACTCTTTACTGTTCCTGAGATATTTAGGATTCAATTTTCTTTTTATGTTGGCACAGCATTTTTTGCAAAATGATTTTTGTTGTTAAATAACAATATTTTATGAACCAAATGAGGTATCACCCTGAAATTTGGTACATAGACAATCTTCCACATGGTGGAGACAAATATCAAATTGAAAATTTTTTCAGACCACCTTAAGTACATGTAAATTGAATAATAAAGGCATATAATTTGGGGGTACTTTGATGGTCAAAATGATGATGTCACCTTGATAATTATATTTTGATGCATTATCACAATATATCAAACATCACTGTTAACAAAAAACATGTTACTGTATTTTTGGACTTTCTAAATACAGCTTTTTAAATAAAGCTTTTATAAATGATCAGTCGACATAAAATTGATAGCTATCTTAATAGCTAAATCTTAATTTCAAGTTGTAAAAAGTTATTTTTAAATTCTTCTTGAAGGGGAAAAATAAGTTTATACTTTATTTTTAATTTTTTTGTACCAGTTACACATACTTACATATATTTATATGTTATTTATATTTGAAAAAATAACACAAATATAAAAATAATGACACATTTGAAATTTTATCTATAAATTTTGAATATTTTGCTCAATAATTTTTGCCAACTCAGTTTCTGAAACTTTGTATACATGACCAGTTGATATAACACGATTTAATGGAATCCAACACATGAACATGATTTAATGGAATCCAACACATGAACACGATTTAATGGAATCCAACACATGAAAAGATTTATATTTTCTTCTTAAAAAAAAAATTAATTGTCTTCTCATTTTTTAATTTCTTTATTATTTGAATCATTCTAATCATTAATATAATATAAAAATTTTATTACAATTTTTATATTATACTGATGATTAGAATGCCTAAATTGTAAAAGTCTTTCATGCTTTTCTTTCGATTTCCATGTTTTTACAATAGACTACAGCTTTTCTGAAATTTTCTTTCAATGCAACTCCAAAGTGTTCTCTATGAAAATAACTGTTGAAAACAATTTTTCACAATCAAATAAACTAGCTCTCCATAATAACTTATGTTTTTTATCACTTAAAAATGTTGATAGGTCTAAGATCTAAACTAATTTGATACTTAAATTGATAAGTCGATGATCTAAAACCTTGTCTTCTTGTTAAACCTTGCTTGTGGCAGCCAACATTCTAATCAAGAACACTTATCCATAACTTAAACTTTGAAATCTAAAACAAAAATATAAATAGAAAAAATAAATTTATTCAAAAAATCTGATTTTGAAATATACTAAATATTTTTTTTTAGAAATACCATTCACATTATTTAGTTTATGGAAAGTTTTTTATACATTTCAATTTTGTTTGGATAAGTCATATTATATGATTTCCTCTTATACACAACTGATAGGTAATTAAAACCTATTTTATCTACCAACCATATAACATTCAATAATTAGTTAAGTTAAGTAATTAGTTAATAATTAGTTAAGTAAATATAGAATTCCTGCAAAGTAACAGGAAACTATATTTATAACATGAAATCTAAACAAAAGAAATTAAATATTAATGAGGAAATAAAAAGCTATATTTATAAAAGACAAAAAAATGTTACTGTATTTGTATTATAGAAAAGTTTTTATACTTGAATATTTATCCTTTACAAAAAAAAAATCAGCTTTATTAAATTAATTTATTTCTAATTATTCATCTATGAGCCCTCAAAAAAGCTTAATAGAAAAATTTTTAACAAAATAAAACTTTTATTGGCATAAAAAATTAGGAAAATATTATTTTTTATTTCTTTTTTTTTTTGAGGGGAAGGAGGGAAAGGGTTAAAATGCTAAATTGCATTCTCACTTTGAAATAAAATTGAAAATAATAATTAGAAATAAAGTATCAACGTATTATTCACCTCAAAAAGAATTTAAAAATAACTTTTTACAACATAAAAATAAGATTTAGCTAATTTTGTTCTAAAGAAGTTAGCAATAAATTTTATGCTGACTAAGCATTTACCTTTTACATTTAGAAGGCTGTATTTAAAAAAG